TTTTTTTTTTTTTTTTTTTTTTTCTAAAAACCCAATCAATTAGCATTTTTAAGATCCAAATGCCCTTGTTTGGAACTGGAAAATGAACAAATAGGGGAAATTTGGGAAGCATAGTGGAAAAAATAGAGAATTGTAGCTAACATTTAAAAGTGGTTATGAAAGCACAGGCAGAGACGATGAAGACTGGAAATTTTGTTTTGAAGGTTCAGAATTGGGTCTGGAAGATCTGGTTGATCTGGTTGATCAATGAATTTTTGGATCCATATCCATTACCATCATCTCTGTCAAATAATTTTGATTCAATCATTTCTTAACTTATATCCTAAGAGTAGATGATTACTATCCAAGTATTGCCTACTCTTTGCATGTTTAAAATTTTGACGTATTTACAAATATTTTTCATTGGGCTTATTTGTGAGATCCCACCTCAGTTGGAGAGGAGAACGAAGTATTCCTTATAAGGGGTGTAGAAATCTCTCCCTAGCAGACGCGTTTTAAAACTTTGAGGGAAAGTCCAGAAGGGGAAGTCCAAAGAAGACAATGTCTGTTAGCGATGAGCGGGCTATTACAAATGGTGTTAGAGTTAGGTATTGGGCAGTGTGCCAGTGAGGACGCTGGCTCCCAAGGGGGGTTAATTGTGAGATTCCACATTGGTTGGAGAGGAGAACAAAACATTCCCTATAAGAGCGTGGAAACCTCTCCGCTTCCCTATAAAGAGGATAATAGGCTTGGGCTATTAAATTATTTCTGCAGTATGCTATATTTGCAGCTGGCTCTAATTTTTGTTCGTGAGATTTGTTAATCGATAATAATCTCTTTAAACTTTAAAGGCTTTCCTTGATGTCGTTAAGCTCCTGCTTATTAATGCAGGTTGAAATCATGTTAAGACTGAGGCATCCTAATGTCGTCCTTTTCATGGGAGCAGTCACTCGCCCTCCACATTTCTCTATCCTTACAGAGTTTCTACCCAGGTTGATTTTGCTGCTTCTTTATTTTTCTTCTTTAACATTATTTCAGCTTAACGATTACGTCGTTCCATGTTCTGAAGGTAAATGCTGCAATATAATTTAGTTTCTGTCATGATTTTTATATAAGATTTACATCTTTTAATGAGAAGCTGCTGTGGGTCAATGTTACGTTGAGGTATCATGCTTATTCTCAATGTCGCCAAAAGGATTTAAATGTCGAATTGTTGATGTTAATGCAAATATCATGTCGGGTCGCCTTGTCAGTATTGGGTTTCATGAAATAGCACAAACTTTCTGAAAAATGTACATTAATATTCTTCCTGGATTCTGTTCTGTTACTGAACTGAAAAGGTATCTCCATATGAGTTTGAAGAAGCACTTAGTTTTTACCCTTGAGAAGTGATTATGGATAAGTTTTACAAGCTACCTCGAACAATTGTTTTAGATATCTCTGTGCATGAGTTATGTCGTTGTCGAGAAGCCTTGTTAGCATGAGCTGGGTTACTGCATCTAAAGCAAATTAAACTATATTCATCATCTCCTAATCCTTTGTCTATGTACCGACAAACAATGCAGGGGAAGTTTGTATAGGTTACTGCATCGTCCCAACTCTCAACTCGATGAAGGGAGACGATTGAAAATGGCTCTTGATGTGGTAAGGAAAGTCCTTCCCCCACAAAATATGGTTTGCTCCTTTTCTTTTGATAAATCTTTATTTTTCTTTCCAGGCCAAAGGAATGAACTACTTGCACACAAGTCATCCGACCATTGTCCATAGAGATCTAAAATCTCCCAATCTGCTTGTTGATAAAAACTGGGTTGTCAAGGTAACATGAAATGAAACTCTTTTGTTCATAAAATTTCCAAGTAGGGGAGATTGATCTTTTCTAATTTCTAACCTTTGTCGCTTCATAGGTTTGTGATTTCGGTTTGTCACGTGTCAAGCAGAACACATTTCTGTCTTCAAAGTCGACTGCTGGAACGGTAATAACCTTGATAATAGTTAGCTTGATAATTAGCACATCCGGGACTTCCATAGCAATCGATAATGCTAATTGTTTCTACTTAATTGTAGCCTGAATGGATGGCGCCAGAAGTTCTAAGGAACGAACCAGCCAACGAGAAGTAAGTTTCGACAAGGCATTGAACTGACCCGACGCATCTTTTGCTCAAATTTGACACAATACTGACAGTGTCTTGTATGGCATACAGGTGCGATGTGTATAGTTTTGGTGTGATACTGTGGGAGTTGACGACATGCTGCATACCATGGAAAGGTTTGAACCCAATGCAGGTTGTAGGAGCTGTTGGATTCCAGAATAGGCGACTGGAGATTCCAGAAAATGTTGATCCTGCAGTTGCACAGATCATTTGCGATTGTTGGCAAACGTAAGTTTCAAACTTTATCAATACCCATATATTTCTCGTTTAACTTCATCTATATCTTGAAGTTTCACTCTTTTCACAGGAACTCGCATCTGAGGCCGTCGTTCTCTCAGCTTATTACTCGACTGCGACGCCTTCAACGGCTTGTTCAGGAAACAAACTCCGAGAATCAAATGTCGGAGTGAACAGAAAAGATTCACTTGCATTCAAATCGAAGAAGTTGTTCGATGGCTTGAAGAGTCAGAGCAACCGATATCGGTTCTTTTTTCGGTTCTCGTTTTTTTAGTGAAGTTGTTTGAAAACACTACAAACTGGATAGGGAAGTGCTAGTTCATTCAAAGTGGGGGCTCAGCACAAACCTATTTAGGAATGGAAATGGCAAATCCTTCAAAACAACAGGTAGCTGCATTAGTTAAAAGTGCAGTGGAGGGATTTACCATTTCTATATATTGTAGTTCTTCATGTGTAGTAGGTTGTATTAAGTTCACATGTAAGAAAATTCCCAGATGAATGGGAAAAAAGAGAAAAAAAAAAAAAAAAGGAAAAAGGAAAAATAATAACTCCCATGCTCAAGCTGTGTGTGTCTAGCTGCGGAGGCCTTTGGGGAAATTGTAAACATTTGGTCTCTGCAGATTACTGTGTAAAAGAAATTTAACCCTTCGAACCCTCACAAAAATGAAAAGCAAAGAGAAAGATTCATATGCAGTTTTTTGTGTTCTTTTATTTTGTTCTTTCTTTTTCTAGCAAAAATGAAGAACATGGCTAACATTGTAGCTATTTACATGCTGTTTGTGCAATGTCCTTAGATCGTTAGATGTAGAAATTTAAAAATGAATTTCAACTGGCAAGATCGTCAGATGTGAACCACTCAATCTATCATGTATTTCCATTCCAAAAATCTAATTTGGATAGAGAGTTTGGGCAACCAGATACATAGCATAAATCGTTGCCCGGTCGTCGGGAACCAAATACCTGTGACCTGAGTCATGTATATACTCCCGGGAAAACCATCGCCGGCGACTTTCTTTCCGTCCGCACCGAACCCCAGACCTCTAATTTCACCTTTCAAAAACCCAAGACCATTCCACCTCCGAAATTCCCCTTCCAGAATATCCCTCTCCTTCTCTTTCCGAAAAGGAAACAACATGCCGTCGGATACTGGCTGCCCTGTTCCGCCGGAGCAGCTGCCGATTAATGAATATCAGACTCTCTCCACCTCTTTCCCTTTCTCCTGGGCTGTCGGAGATATAGTTGAGTACTGTTCTCGATTGGTCGCCACCGGTGCTTCCTTTGCGCTCTTCATAGGACTTCCGGTTGCTTGGTTCGGCACCGTGGGGGTCGAATCGGATCCGTTGAGTCGATCTCTTTGCGCTGTTTCGAGTGGAATATTATTCGTTACGATCGCGGTTGTCAGGATGTATCTCGGTTGGGCTTACGTCGGTAACCGTCTACTCAGTGCGACTGTAGAATGTAAACTCTCATTTCTGTGTTTCTTACTTTTAGCCCTAGAATCGCAGTTCTTCGTTCAAAGATAGTACTGGATTCTTTTCTTTCCATGTCTAGCGAAAAAAATTTCATCATCGTTCTGAAATTTTCCTTTATACAGACGAAGAGACCGGATGGTACGACGGCCAGGTACACTCATCCAGTTCTTCTTCTTCTTCTCATAGGATCAAGATTCCATTTCATCTCTGAAATTAAGACCTCATGTTTGCAGATTTGGGTAAAAACTGCCGAAGTTTTAGCCCGCGATCGCCTCCTCGGTTCCTACACTGTAAGCAACCGATCTCGATCCTAATTTCGACTTCCTCTCCATAAATCCAAGTTTCAGTTGCAATTTAGAAATCTTCTCAGGTGAAGCCGGTGCTCAGTAGGCTAAAATACACTCTCGTTAGCCTTGCGGCATCTCTGTTTGTGTCCATTATTGTGCTCATCAACATCGATGGAAGCCAATTGCTGGGGCCTTTCTTCACCGGAAAATATGCAGCAGATGACAGCAGCAGCAGGGTCATTCCCGGCGTTTATAGCGACGAATCCGCCAGATCTTTCGAGCCTGATGCGTTCTGTGGGCGTGGCGAAGATGATCTTCCCAATGACATTCACTTCGCTGGTAACTGATTGATTAATATTTTTTTTTCTTTAAATAATAATTTTTTAAAATTATCTATTTTCTCTGTTTCGTACGTTTCTAATTTCATGAGAGAGTAGATTGAAACTGGCAGGCTTAATTTGTAAAGGAAAAGCCCAAATCACATAATGAGCCCAGCCCAAATCATAGAATGAGCCCAGCCCAGTAGCTACCGCACCAGTTTCTACAGAATGAGCCCAGCCCAGTAGCCACCTCACCAGTTTCCACAGACTCAGCCCAAATGCTCCTCACTATTTGTTGCTTAATAGTTAACCAATAAGAAGCTGACACCTGTATTGCGTTAAATTATTATTTACTTTAATTATATTCTCTTTTTTTTTTTTGGATAAGACAATAATTTATTACTTTTTTGTTGTCGAATTTTCCGTAAATCCTGTTTACAAATTTTTCAATCAACGACTTTTTTTTTACTGTTCAGTCCGTTTTTCAATAAATAAATAAATAAATAAAATTATCTCCATCGGCTTCACGCTTCCCAATGTAATATTTCGATTTTCCACATACTTTAGGCATAGTCCAATTTTGTGGCTGAATCATCGTCATTACATGTGACCATTTTAAAAATAATTGTTCATGTTAATAAATTTATTTTTATTTTTATTTTTTATCTAGAATCTTCTTTTATTATTATTTTTTAAAAAAAATTATGTATGCACTATTCAGCTAAACATCGAATTTTTGTTGTGTTAAAAATATTAAAAACTATATACTAAAAAAAGAAATATATTATATATATATATTTCTTTTTTTTTAAATGTGGGAGCGAATAATTTTAAATGTGTTAATAGGGCTCCACGTGGAAATATCCGGGTTGGGTTCATGCATCTGCTTCTTCAACCGCCATTCTCTTTCTGGCTGGGCAAAGTGAATAATTATCTTTTTTTTTTTTTTTTTTTTTTTTTTTTTTTTTTTTTTTTTTTTTTTTNTGGCGGGCTTCAATTCTCAGCGATGAACGATCCGACCATTTTCACTAACAACCATATCGTCCTCTTCCTCTGCTTCGTTCCCCTGTTTTTCTCACTCGCGCGCTTTCTTCACTGACCATTACAGGTGAGTTGCGGGCTTCATTTCTTTGCTCTACACTCCTTCCTTTGAAATTTGTTTTGTTTGCTTCTGTTCTTCTTCTTCTTCTCAATGTATTGTGTTCTAATCAACTCAAATCTTAAGGACTGGGGGCGGTAGTCGTAGAGGAGTCCTGAGAAATGGAGTTTCTTGTCCTTCTAGTTTCAGTAGCTTTTCATTTTTCTGTGAGGTCTATTTGCTGCGCTGAATTACCTTTTTATATATATAACAAAAAAGACGGAGTTGATTGCGTGTTTTTTGGGATTTTTTTTAGGCCCTAAAATCATGTAGTCTCCCTCCGATTTTAATTCGTGGATTGTGATCTCTGCTTTAGAATGCTGAGTTGTGCTTAAGAAAAAATCTTCGATCTAGGGGCATGAGAAGATGCAGATGGGAGGAATTTAATTGTGAAGAATATCTATCCACATTTATTCGTTGCGGCTTAAGATCAAAGTCGATAATTGATAAATCTTTCGTTGTTGACCGATTTTGAAAATAGGCTTTCGACTGAATAAATATACGACGAACTATCGTTAGATCCTGAAACATTATGTATGTTTAATAGATGGGGAAGTTTTATAGTTGTATCATAGGATTGGGCCACGCGGGTTTTTCCGTCGATCAGTGGGGTGAGCTCATTGTGGAAGGAAATATCAAGAAAGAGTTCGAACTGTACCCTGATCAATGCATGAATCCAAAAAATGGAGGATGATAACGTTTGAGTGATCATTAATATTAAAATGAAGTTAGCTGGGGTTAGAAAATAAAGAATAATGTGGATCTTTAACCAGTTGGCGATTGATACAGGATAATTTCATCTTAGATTCTTGATCTGATCAATTTTTTTTTTTTTTTTTTTTTTTTTTTTTTTGTGAAATGTCAGTATTAGATCAGCCACAGAACCTTAAACTGAAAATATTTGTAACGTAAAATTTCTTGGTCGTCTAGTTGTTTTGTGCAGTTTTTCTTTTCTTACGAGTGCAATTTTTTAGACGACGAAGAGACATTATGGAAGGTTGATGACGGTTACATGGTTCATTGAATTTCGATTAGAACTTGAAATGGTTTATGTCTGCCATAATCTGAACTGACAATCGATCATTTTAATGATCTTGAATAATGAACTTTGATTTGTTCTTGCCTTTTAATCCTGTTGTTTGTTCATCCTTTTGAGAAAGTTTTGGTGTTGCAACAGATTACTACTCTGAACCCTGCATCCATGATGATGAAGGGATTGCAGATTTGGTTGTTTTCTTTTTCTGCAAGCAAATTCAGTTTCTCTCAGTGTGTGGCCTGATGCATCTGTTCCAATTATTAACAAAGCTATATGGTACCCGGAAAGTATTCTAAAATGAAGCCACAAGCAGTTTATGATATTGAACTCGTCAGTTCTACGCAGAGCATAAAACATGAATTCTGGCCTCTAGATGCAATCGATCCGGACCAAGCGAAGTTCCCATGCTGTTTGGTTTGGACTCCTCTTCCTGTTGTCTCTTGGTTGGCACCTTTCATTGGCCATGTTGGGATTTGCAGGGAGGATGGAGCTAGTCTAGATTTCGCAGGATCAAATTTTGTGAATACCAATGACTTTGCATTTGGTTCTGTTGCGAGGTACCATCAACTCGACCGAGAAAAAGTAAGTCCATAGCAATCAGTTGCACAGAAATATTTCGTGAAATTAGCGCCCTGTTTCCTATGTGAATACGTACTGCTTTTTACTGAAACTATCTACGCTTTCTTTGTTAGCTATCTCTCCCCTGGGTGCAATGCCATCTTGTTTCAAGGATGGCTATCATAGTCTCTCTTACCAGTTCTTTTCTCTGTAAACAGTGTAAAATTTAATGATGGATCATTAACATCGTATTGAAACCTTGTTTTTTTTGCAGTGTTGCTTCCCGACAAGCTTAGCTGCGCATAAATGTAACCAGGGCTACCAGCATTCACAATATGGAACTGCCATTACCTGGGACGATGGCCTACAATCAAGTACACGGTATTTCGAGCATAAATCGTACAACCTTTTTACATGCAACTCCCACTCCTTTGTTGCCAATTGTCTGAACCGTCTTTGTTACAATGGATCGATGAGTTGGAACATGATAAATGTAGCAGCTCTAATTCTGTTCAAGGGGCATTGGGTTAATGGCATGTCAATTGTAAGATCATTCCTTCCCTTTATTCTGGTGGGCTGCCTGGGCATTGCCATGGTTGGATGGCCCTTCTTGATTGGACTGTCATCTCTTTTTCTACTTTTGGTTGGTTGGTTTGTTATGGGTACTTATTGTATAAAAAGCCTGTTGGAATGCTAGATTTGGTTGAACATTTGTAGTTGAGAATCACCGAGTGATGGTTCTCCATCCATTGAGAGAGAATGTTTGCTCATATTTGTTGAACTTCGAACTTAGAGCAACATAGAGTTTTATATAACGTGTAGAAACATACTATTTTGGTTCATTTGAAAGCTTCAGTATTGTATTTGTTTAAATATTAAGATCTGTGAATCTAAAATTTTATAATGCTTGGTTTTATTATAATGTTCTCTTTTGATAATAATGTGTGTCCATTGTTATTTTATGATTCCTCAGACCGATTGCACTCAAATAGAAAATTCCAAATTTAAAATCCTTTATCCGAAATGGACCGAATCCATACTAGGTTCAGTCAACTGCCTGTCAATCGAGCTCTAATCGACCCAGATTGTTTACTTGTTCATCTCTTTCCTGCTTTGTTTGCGATCTCGATCATGCGATGTTCAGGATTCATGAAATCCCTTTCGGTTTTCGCTGTTAAGGACGCCGGGTATGCTTTTATTTTTGGTTCTTCTAATCAGCCTATTTAAGTCTCTTGGAGTATTGTTTATTAACAGATGATGTTTAAATTCCATTTTTCAGGTGGTTACATGAAATCTAGCGCTGTAGTGATTGCTGATTCAATCGAAAATCTCTGGAAGCAAAGTTCAATCAAATACAGAAAGCTTTCCAGGCAGAATGTAGTCACCAAGTGAGCTACTTTGTTTTCCTGTTATATTAAATCAGTAGCATGAGCCATTTGGCACGACTTTTCTGTAATCACGTTGTCTTCTATGAATATGAACAAAGTTGGAGCGGAATTGTGTAAAAAACTTAAGCCATGAAACAGATGCATTATTGTGGCTTATACTTAAAGTAACCAAAAGAATTGAGTATAAGAGGAAAGAGAAGGATACAGAACCCACAATCATATGGTAGTTCTATCAAATAAAAGATCTATATCCACCCACACTTTCATTATGATTTCCACGGTAGAGTTAAAAGAAATTCAGAGACAGCCTCTTCTGAGCTAGCCCAATTAACATTCTGAATCCTTAGCATACTTGGACAATCGTCTTCTTCAATCACTCAGTGATACAAGAGCGACAATCCTTAGCATACTTGGACAATGATTTAGTTGATTTTCTTAATACTTTCATGTACCCTTCATGTGACTGTTGGAGGTGATTTTTTCTTTTTTTATACATATTACTGTTCTTCAGATGATTTCGATACGAGTGAAAATACTTTTCTTGACCCTAATAAGTATGTTTAGTCGGATATAATCTTACTTAAGTTGATGACGTCTAATTTCTTATGATGTACATTTGAATGATTTCTAGTTAGTATTTAGATAAATTGTAGATTTCATAACATTGAGTCTATAACAATCTATGCGTTGATCTTGTGATAAGTAGGAAAAAAAAACGTGAAGAAACTTTGAAAAAATGAGTTTGAACTCAAGCTACCTGTCACTAAGTAGATATACTTTTAAAAAATAAAGCTGTAGACAGTTGAATACTATATGAGAAGATGGAGATTAGATCTTTTGGAAAATATGTAATAAAGAGTTATCTAGTTAGATGAGTTGATATATTAATGGAGCCGTGAGCCAGAAACTGTTGTAGGAAATCAGCGTGCTAGAGGTTGAGGCGGAGGCTGAATATAATAATGGGGTAAAGGGTAGGATGGGTGAAATCCAAGGCAAGTCCTAGTGGGATGAGTGAGGACAAAACCAGCATTGAGTTTGATTGGAGGCAGAGAAAGGCAGGCATTATAAGCCCGAGATTGATGTCTCTCTCACCCCCAATGGCTTATGTAAGCACCGACACCAACACCAACACCATCACTTTAGTCCTTCCTCCAATGCCTCTTCTCAACCCCCACCACCTCTAACTCTTTTCTTCACTCTTGGGTTTCCTCCAGACTGTCCCTTGACCCCACTTTCCCATTTCTCTATCCAATAATAATAATAATAATAATAATAATAATAATAATAATAATCCCCAGCGCACAAATCTTAACAACCATTGTAATCAAGCCTAGATGAGAATGAGATGTGTTAGAATAAGAAACCAAGTTTTGTTCTTGTAGAACTGTTTGGTCAAAGTCAAACAAGCTCCAGCTGTGTTTGAGATATACATGGAATAAAGGAGAAAAAAAAGCAAGCTAAACTAGAAATTTCTAGATTGCAGACCACGTTTAAAGCTGTCTCTCTTCACTTCTTTTTCTCACTCTGCATTGATACAAGAAACCAAGTACTGGATGGAAGATAACTCTCTACCACCTCAAAAATAGGAGTATATTGTCTGCTTTAAGCACAAACTCTTATGTTTTTGCTTTAAACTTACCCAAAAGGCCTCGTACATGTATTCCTTGCTTGTAAACCCATGATCATTCCTTCAATTAGTCAACGTGAGATTCCTTCCTAACAATCCTCAACATATATCAATCCATTTTAAATCTCATATTGTATTTTTATTCTTTCTTGTTTATTTTCTGAGTTTAAAGTGTGAGGAATCCTGCAAAGAGGAGTTAAGATCACGTAGGAGTTTGTTATACATTTCACATGATCCACGAATCTCCAACTTTGCCTTTCCAACGTTTACCACAGCTCCTTTTACATTTTAGCCCTCTCTCTCTCTTTTCTCTCTCTCATGATTTATGAATTAAGCAATTTGAGTCTGAAAAGTCTGAATCCTCACAGCTGTGTTTGAATTGTGTATCACAATAGGTTTTGTATAGTATAATCTTTATTTGTAAGTTTGTGAGATTAGCAAGTAAATTTTGCTTCCATTTCATTATTCGAGACTATATAGAAAGTCTTATTTTTGATCCAGATGTCCTTAGGGCATTGAAAATTGGGAACTTTTATGAGGCAGAGCATTTATAATTTGCAGAAAGTTGTGAGCTTTTTGATCCCTCACATGACAGCTAGCTAGATAGATGTGTGCAGCAAATTTGAGTAAGGTATGAATATTTGATGGATATACAAATGGTTAGTTGGTCAAAACCCAAAATGAGTTTTGTTGTTGCTGCTGCTACCACCTCGGTAAGACCCAAATTTAAATGACTCTTACTCTTGTCTTCTTCTCATTAAAAACATACAAAATAGCCTCTCTAAGCAGCCTCCTTTTTGCTATTGACATGAACCTTCCTCGTATAGTTATTGTATGTCTGGTTCGTTGAATCAGTATCAGTTGCCAACATTTATTTTGATTCCTTATGGTAATCAAAATTTAATCATTTATGATTCATGGATTAGAACACTATTAGCACAACTATATGCATTAATATATCTGTAACTTCCATTATTCTGTTATAGCATTATATCTCTTGAGTTATTGACTTATTTATTCTGTTATAGCATTATATCTCTTGAGTTATTGACTTATTCTACTATAGGGTGAGATCCCACGTCGGTTGAGAAAGAGAACAAAGCATTATTTATAAGAGTGTAGAAACCTCTTCCTAGCAGACACATTCTAAAAGCCTTGAGGGGAAGCTTGAAAGGTTAGCAGTGGGCTTGGGCTGTTAGGACAATATTTGCTGGTAGGTAAGACAATATCTGCTGCGGTGGATTTAGGTTGTTATAGTGAGTGTGGTCTCGTGAAAAGAAATTTGTTTTTTTTTTAATTTAATAAACTAGAATATACAATAATGGGAAATCCCAAGGGCATGGTTGTCCAAAAGAAAGTGGGGGTCCCTCGTGCATCTACTGCTACATCTTTCCTGTCCTGGTTTTGCACATAATATATATAGAGATCCGTTCGTCAGCAAAGGCTCAAAGCTTTGTCTAAGATTCCCCCAAGTTGCAGTGTGTTCATTGAAAGATTAGAATTAGAATAGATGTAAAATGCTTGTGGTGTTGTAATGGCCGCCAAGAAAACGTCACCATTGAAGGGATTAGAGGCAGAAGAATACCAAGAACTTGAAGGCCTCGTTGAAAATTACCACAAATTTGAAGCTTCTCCCAACACTACCACTTCCCTCATCACCCAACGCATCGATGCCCCTCTCGACGCCGTCTGGCCCTTCGTCCGCAGCTTCGACAATCCCCAGAAGTATAAGCATTTCATCAAAAGCTGCAAAATGTCAGGTCAGCGTTTAAAGATGGTCTCATTATTCTTTGTCGACCCAAATCATGCATAATTTACATAAATGGTGATTTTTAGTATTTCAAAACTAAATTAACGTTCAAAACATGTTTTTTTTTTGGTTGTTTATGTGCTTTGAATAGCAGGTGATGGCGGCGTTGGCAGCATCAGAGAGGTGACTGTCGTCTCCGGCCTCCCGGCATCAACGAGCACAGAAAGGCTAGAGATTTTGGACGACGAGAAGCATATTTTGAGCTTCAAGGTCGTCGGAGGAGAGCACCGGCTGAACAATTACCGATCAGTGACGTCAGTGAACGAGTTCAACAAAGACGGCAAAGTTTACACCATCGTTTTAGAGTCTTATATCGTCGACATACCGGAAGGGAACACCGGCGAGGACACGAAAATGTTTGTGGACACTGTCATCAAGTTGAATCTTCAAAAACTTGCTGGGGTTGTCATGGCCTCTCTGCATGAACACAATTAGGGGTGGCGACGGCGGATCTCCGCCGGCGGAGGATGGGATGGGACGTTTTTTTCATTTATTTTTAAATGTTCGTATGATGATTAGTGGTGGGTCGGAATGTTTTTGCAGGTTGAATTTGAATTTTCGCTTGTTCTAATTCATTGGGTTGGCGGATAATGGATTGGTTGGGAGAAGAAATTACCTGATTCATATTATATATATATAGGACAAATATTGTCTTAATTGATGTTTTATCAATAAATGAATTATGGGTTTTTTTTAATCCCTTCTTTACTTCGAAACTAAAAGATTATATAATTATATAATTACGAAGATTTAGAATAGCGTATTAAATTAAAGCAAAACCTGGTTGGAACAAATTTATATATTAATGCAAAAGCAATCTACTAAAGTGCTCTTCACATGCAATTGCGTGATTTAATGATCATCACAAGTTTGATTATTGGATTATTTGCTTCTTAAGGAAAATCATTTTTTTGTTCTTATCATAAGTTTGTGTCACTTGAAACCCTCCATAGTTGACTTTTACATTTAATAATTTGGACTTTGATTCTTATATTTATTTGCATTTTGAAAGCACTTTTGAAAGAAAAATCACTTTTAAATGGGTTTTTCTAATATTTTGAAGAAACACTTTTCTAGAGATGGATGGAAGTTTGGAGTTTCGATGAGAGAGACCGACGAAAGAACGCGTGGGGATTGCTTGTGAGCAGACCATAGGAAACATGTGACCTTCATACACAACAAAAATGTAATATTTTCAGCTCATAGCCAGAGTAGGGAACGAACACAAAAGGCCTTTTGGAGTTCAGATCATATGTATTTTCATCATTTAAACCTACTGGCCTTGCATTGCCGTGAACATCATCTGATTAAATCCATAGTTTACACAGATTCTAATTTCAAGACCATATATATAACCCGATAAACGAAACGTTAAAGCCGAGAGGCGGTCTGCAGTGCAGGCACAAAATTCCTCCAAGGTATCATAGATAGGTGTTACAGACAGTCTCTCTCTCTATATATATATATAACTTCATATTAGCATCTGAAAGTGATGGATTCCTAAATCAAACCAATGGCAAAGATTTCTCTCTGAGTGGACTGTCATGGAGATGCTGCCTAAGGAACTTAATCCTCATGTCCCCTTTGTCATTCATGCAATCTTTCCTTTTTCTTCCATTTTCAATGCCGTTTGCAGTCAAGGTGATGGATGTTCCCTGTGCTGCTGCTGTAGCCACCGAATCAACCATGTCGAAGTCGCCAACGGAGGGATCCTCATCCATCGCATTCGTGACGCTGTTGGGGAAATTAACATCTGAGTTGTTCTTGCCATCTGGTTGTAAGAACTCAGCTCCTGACTTGGATATGATATCTCTGGCTCTGAACTTGGAGTTCAAATGGTCGAACACTCTCACCCCTTGATCTTCCAATACCAGAAGCCATTCTGAAGTTAAATCAATAATCGTCAGCCATTGATAAGAGAACATCAAACAAACACATCAATACATAACAGTTTTAGGAACCACGAGTCTCCACAATGATATGATATTATCCACTTTGAGCATAAGCTCTCGTAGTTCTGCTTTTGGTTTTCCTAAAAGGCCTCATGCCAACGGAGATGTATTCCTTACATATAAACCCATGATCATCCCCTTAATTAGCCAACGTGGGACTCCCTCCCAACAATCCTCAACGAACAAGTCTGTGTTGTACACTAATGTCACCTTCGTGTTCTTCAAACCATAGTTTCATTACCTGTAACAACCTAAGCCCACCGCTAGCAGATATTGTCCTCTTTAGGCTTTCCCTTTCAGGCTTCCCTTCAAGGTTTTTAAAACATGTTTGCTATGGAGAGGTTTCCACACCCTTATAAAGAATGTTTCGTTCCCCTCTCCAACCGATGTAGGATCTCACATTACCACTTAGAGAAATGCATGAAAATTTTCGCTACACTAAAAAAGAAAAAGTATTGCTTATGAAATCACTTGTAATGCACACGTATAGAAACAAACCAATAAGAGCCGTGGGTGTGGAGATGTTTGGTTGGCTCATCCTCTCGCTGAAGCCTGATTGGTTTCTGATCCAATTGATCAACTGAGAAGGCCAACAAGAATTGCGGAAGGCATTAATGTAGGACATAGCCTTGCTCAGATTGCCAGACTCTCTGCATCAATCAGATTGTGCACATTACATGCATAGCCAAGTTGAAATTGACATTAGAGATACTCTAGCTAACCTCTAGAACACTATGATTTGTTATACCTAAAGGATCGAATACCATTATCAGCAACAAATAACCAATTCAAACAAATAGCTCGTAAATCGGCGGCAGGTCGTTCGGTTCCAAATTGAAGTTTAAGGAACGGGTACTCTGGTATTATTGCAGCATCGTATAATACTTCTCGTAGAAGAACTTCATCTGCAGAGCCCTACAAAAGGAACAACTCAGGAAAATCAATGGTTTATTCCCTTTACCCCATCAAGGTGAATAAGCAATATTACTTCCAAAGATGCATCTGATCAAGCTTAAGCCACGATGGGCTTGTATCTGATGGATAGTAGCAGAGT